GGGTGGGATATTTTCGTAAACAAAGTGGATTCCAGAATAAACTTTACGGAATAAAGGGCGTCTCTTGCTTTTCTTGAAAATAGGACGCACGACTCGCAAAATCGGATTAAGGGTTGAAAGTATATATTATATAAGCGGTTTACAGAAAATTTTATTTTTATTGTAGTACGCAAGATCAATTTTAACTGAAAGCTCTAAAATTTTGTTTCCAATAAAACATGTTTATTTCGTTTGAAACGAGAATAAGGAAGGTTGCGATGAAATATTTACAGAGATCGTAAAATAAAGTTGATGACATTGTGATTGTCTTTTTCACAATAATCTTTTTAAAACAACTCCCAACTCAAACGCTTTACATACAGAAATGAAAAGGAAATATTGAAGTTAGCGAGTACATGAGTGTATATGTATATAAAATTCCATAACGGAATTTACGACCTTACATAGCAAAAATCTTTTGTATCGCCATAAGCGAGCCGGCATAAAAATCTGCATAGTAACACAACGACCGAGGATACCATCTGGAAGTTATTGCCTCTTTTGTACGTTATTCTTTTTCTTTCCAACCGTAACGGTACATGTCATCAATGAAGCTTCTCACGTAGTCATGACAATAAAACAAAAAAGTCCTAAATCCCGGTAGCTGAAGAACTTTTATACTCCAGCGAACGCAATAATTGATATAAACGACGACTCTTTTCATCCACTCTTAGTATCAATATTTACACAGTGGGTGAAAGTTTGCGAACTTTACCAAACTCTGTCTTTATGAGCGACTGAACAGAGATTGTTTACTCGTTCGGGTCGCGTACAATTGAAAGGATTCACCGTCGTTTCAACCACCCACCCAAAACTCAACCAAACATCCAACGATCCCAAACCGAATCCATTCACGTTACGGTTAAGCTTTAGGTCAACGTTCCCGCATTGCCGTCATTTGTCAGAAAGACGCCACCTTAATTTACTCCCCACTTACGTTTCTAACCATACGCTATCTGAATTACCTACATTTGAAGCAAGAGAATAGGGATAAAATGGGAGAAGAAGAAAAGGAATAAAAAGACGGTAACATTGGGGCTATTTGGGTATGTCCTCCGCGAACGTTGAGGGGGTAAAACGCTTCGTTCTTATCTACGGTCGCTTCGAGTGTAAAGTTAACGATGCTTTCAACGCCGGTCGCGAATAGCATCGTCAAAGGCCTCTAAACACCTCAGAACTCTTCCGTAATCAGTATGAGAAGAGTTCCTGAAAGTAGAAAGTGTTTTCAACTCCACTGAATCCTATATACTTATCTTCCCACCCATTATTTTAATAAGAGACAGTTTGATATCCAAATAAATTTATGCGGTAAATACAGGGTGTTCAAAAAACCGCTGACAGACTTCTAGGGCAGGGAATACATCAAAAATTAAGATGAAAAGTCTTAATATAAATGGGGTCGCTAATGCCTCCTTAACGAGATATAGCGGGTCAAACTTTCTTTAAAATCAAACATTATCTGCAATAAAAGCCCTTTTTTAAAAATATTTTCAACTCCACTGCTAATTTTGTCAAACGGGCAGTATTTTCGTGTAAAGTGATCATTTATCTATCAATTGGTCTCTTAGAAAACTTTGATTAAAGCAACAGTTTTTGATTGAATTAACAAATTTTCTACAAACGTGTTTTTTTTAAACTATTACTTTGATCAAAGTTTTGTAAGAGACCAATTGATAGATAATTGATCAATTTACACGCGTAGAGAGCAATGGCGTAGATAATATTTTTAAAAAAGTGCTTTTTATTGCAGATAATGTTTAATTTTAAAGAAACTTTGATCCGCTATATCTCGCCAACGAGGCATTTGCGATCCCATGTACCGTATTTTCTCGAATCTTATCCGCACTCGAATCTAATCCGCACCCCGATTTTAAAAATGCATAGTGGTAAAAAAATTTAGTTTGCGAATGTAATCCGCATCTTTCTTTGAGCAATTCGACAACACCAAAACGATGCGATGCTTGTTGTTAACCATAAATATATATTTTTTCCGTTGACTGACGCTGATGCACCTAAAGAAACCTTGCTTACGACGAGTTTTTATTAGACTAGACTTTAAATTTACCAAGCCAGAAAAAATTGGAAAATAAATATAATTTTAAAAATAAATAGTAATGCCTAGCACGAATTCCGTTCATATACTGCCCTAGTAGTAGCTCGAACGTGGTGTGTGCTTAATTAATAATTATACATATAATAGGGTAATTATAAAAAAATGTAGCAAAAATCTAAAAGGTTCTTCTATACAGCAAAGTTTAAAGAGATGTTATTAAGTTAGCGTTAAGGAAATCGAAAAGCTGGTACAATTTTTGCTGATAATGAGAGTAACGTTGCGGCTGTTGCGGAAAGACCAGGTAGCTATTGCAGACTGTGAGGCATCGTGCAAAAAATTTACCGGGCCAAAGAAGAGACGATTTCATGAAATTGACGAGGCAGTTTTCTAGTTCTCTCAAGAAAAACGAAAGGAGGGACTAAAAAATTTTTAATACTAGCAAAGGTTGGACTGTGGGATTTATGCGCCGAATGGTGTTATCGTTGAGGCGCAGAACTACAATTTCCCAAAAGCTCCTAATGATTTTCAAGAAAATTTCAATTTGTCTCAAACTGTAAATGTCAACGAAATGGTAGTATATCTGGATATGCCACCCAATTACACACTGGAAAGAAGAGGTGTGTGGGAAATTTCTTTATAAACGAGTGGTTCCGAAAAATTGCGCATAACATTGATGCTAGCAGTAACAAGTGATAGGGAAAAATTGCCGACATTATTAATATTGAGAAAAACCATTCTGAAATCTGAAAGACTTCCTGAATAACGTCCTAGTTAGGGCACAACAAAAAGGACGGATAATGGAAAAGCTGATGATTAAGACAAGTATGGAGTCTTAGACCAGGAGGATTATTAAATAAGGATATTAATTAATCATAGACTGATTGCCCTTGGTTTAGACTTCTTGTCATAATAATAATACCTGGTGGAATAACATCCATACTACAACCTGTGTATGTATATGTATATTAACAAACTCGAGAATTAACACAACCGGGAGCAATTAAAGGAGCTTCTGAACTTGCTCAGTGAGTGTAGGCGACATGGAAAACGATCCCTGAAAACAATATTATAACATCATTTAAGAAGTTTTGTATAATCCGAAGATGACGTAGTATGGGAAGAAAATGACACATAAAAATGTAATTATCGTTCTAAAACCCTTAATAAGTCTTATTGTTATGATGTGATTTTATTTTACTATTTTCCAAATTACAACTATACGACTGCGAATCTAATCCGCACCCGATTGTAATCCGCATTTGATTTTAGAGCACATAAAATTTGTAAAAAAGGTACGGATTACATTCGAGAAAATACGGTATATTAAGACTATTCATCTTAATTTTTCATGTATTATCTACTCTAGAAGTCTGTCAGCGGTTTTTTGAATCACCCTGTATACTGTAATAAAATCCGTGTTTCCAAAGAAACAAAAAAGACTAATTAAATTTAAGATCTTTAGTATTATAGATTAGGTTAAGTAGTTACGTTTTGTTATGATTTTCGTTTAGATTTAAGAAAAATTAGGGCGATGTGCAAAAAAGAGGTAATTCCTTGAATATCCTTCAAATTTGACCTTGTCATTTACATTTTTGACAGGTATTGACTTTGGTGACTTTTCAGACGATTTTAGATTCTAAAAAAATGCGAGATCGATAGATTGTATCGATTTAGCCCATAGGCCGCAATTTCATCCATTTCTGTATCATTTTATCTATTTAAATTCCAATTTTTCATTTTCAAACTTCAAATTCAAATTACGATTTTCTCGAAGGAAATTGACACCCGAAAGCGCGTTTATCTAAAAAAACGAAAAATTAGCTACAAAATTACAAAATCTTAATCAAATTTAAAGTTTATTAATAATTTCGAAAAGTTTCAAAATTGACAGTTATTTTCTTTAAAAAAATTAATTATTTTGGCTAACCTGTGTAATTTAAAATTCCCGCCACTTAAATAACCAATAGGAGAGCCCAGATTAAAACTGAGAGGATCAAATTCGGATATCCAAGAAGGCTTTGTCCAAAAAGGGTATATAAGGCCGCGGAAATTGACACCGAAGAGAGATCAAATTTGGCTAGAGTCAAGTGTTGTCGAATCTACGTCAAATTAACCTTAAATTTTCTAACCTAAGTTTGAACTTAGAATTTTTTTTTGACAACTCAATTTTTTTTATCAAGTAAAAGTAAACAAGTGTTTCTGAATTATCTTTGAAGAAATCGAAACCATACCTGAGTTCGAGTCCAATCTTCCATCCTGTTCCCGAAGGATCCCTCAAGATCAAGGTCAGTCAACCATTTTTAACTAACATGTGACACCTCCAGAAGGAATCAAGATAACTGAACATATTTCCTTTTATCGGTAATCAAACGTTACTAATCGTATACTTGTTCCTCGTTTAAACCATTTCGTTCCTCCAAAACTCTTTAATTTTTATAACCATCACGATTAAAAATCAACCTTAAAAGACACTCATAAAATTAACGCGTATAAGTTTTGTCTACGACAACACTCTTCTAAACGAGTTACCTCTTTCTTGCACAGACGTATTTATTTAGGCTCGTTTTTATGTTTAGTTCGTAAATTTAAAAATTTAGCTAATAGATGTCTCCATGAACCTGCAATTTATTTTTCTATTCCCTGAGATCATGTTTTTTAATTTAAAAATGTATTTTTTTCGGACACCCACTGGAAATGGCCTATATTTCCTTATTACAAATCGTAAAGAAAAGTACCTCATTTCTTTATAGCAACCAAATAAACAATTAATTATTTATTAGAATAAATATTAAACGTATAATTATTAAGATTAGAGAAGCTTATACTTGATGTACACTGTTGTAACTGTAAATCACCACATGTTAGTGAAGATTTTGATAACACCTCCTGATGAANTTCTGTATCATTTTATCTATTTAAATTCCAATTTTTCATTTTCAAACTTCAAATTCAAATTACGATTTTCTCGAAGGAAATTGACACCCGAAAGCGCGTTTATCTAAAAAAACGAAAAATTAGCTACAAAATTACAAAATCTTAATCAAATTTAAAGTTTATTAATAATTTCGAAAGGTTTCAAAATTGACAGTTATTTTCTTTAAAAAAATTAATTATTTTGGCTAACCTGTGTAATTTATAATTCCCGCCACTTAAATAACCAATCGGAGAGCCCAGATTAAAACTGACAGGATCAAATTCGGATATCCAAGAAGGCTTTGTCCAAAAAGGGTATATAAGGCCGCGGAAATTGACACCGGAGAGAGATTAAATTTGGCTAGAGTCAAGTGTTGTCGAATCTACGTCAAATTAACCTTAAATTTTTCTAACCTAAGTCTGAACTTAGAATTTTCTTTTATCAAGTAAAAGTAAACAAGTGTTTCTGAATTATCTTCGAAGAAATCGAAACCATACCTGAGTTCGAGTCCAATCTTCCATCCTGTTCCCGAAGGATCCCTCAAGATCAAGGTCAGTCAGCCATTTTTAACTAACATGTGACACCTCCAGAAGGAATCAAGATAAGTGAACATATTTCCTTTTATCGGTAATCAAACGTTACTAATCGTATACTTCTTCCTCGTTTAAACCATTTCCTTCCTCCAAAACTCTTTAATTTTTATAACCATCATGATTAAAAATCAACCTTAAAAGACACTCATAAAATTAACGCGTTTAAGCTTTGTCTACGACAACACTCTTCTAAACGAGTTACCTCTTTCTTGCACAGACGTATTTATTTAGGCTCGTTTTTATGTTGAGTTCGTAAATTTAAAAATTTAGCTAATAGATGTCTCCATGAACCTACAATTTATTGATCATGTTTTTTAATTTAAAAATGTATTTTTTTCGGACACTCACTGGAAATGGCCTATATTTCCTTATTACAAATCGTAAAGAAAAGTACCTCATTTCTTTATAGCAACCATTTCTTTATAGCAACCAAATAAACAATTAATTATTTATTAGAATAAATATTAAACGTACAATTATTAAGGTTAGAGAAGCTTATATAGTTCATTTTTTTTTCTATAATACCTGCCAAATTGTTGTAAAGTTGGCAAAATTACCAGGGAGTTTTATTTTATCGTGTTTTGAAGTAAATATGTTTGAGCTTTCGTTATTCAAAATTGCATAAAAAATGTTGTGGGGTGTTTATTTGCCATTTATTTACCTAGAAAAGGTGTTTTGTTCTATTTAATTACTTTGTAGCACGTTTTTACAACAAACATGTACTTCGTTAAAATCGTATTTATCTAAAAATTTATTAGTATTTTAACCTCAACTATTTAGTTACTAAAAATGTTACTAAAATCAGGAAAACAACATAAATTTTATAAGGGTCTTAGTAATACCAACAGAAACCCTAAAAAATTTACATTGACAAGTATTATAGAAAAAAAACGAACTATACTTGATGTACACTGTTGTAACTGTAAATCACCACATGTTAGTGACGATTTTGATAACACCTCCTGATGAATCACTACTTTATTTTTTTTGTTTGATTGCTGTAGTGAGGGAAACGGCAGAAACGTCAATTTGATTCTCGAGCTCGTTGTTTACTTTTTAAATAATTTCTTATAAAATGTAGGTGGTAATTCATTTAAATTGAGTGTCCGAAAAAAACTTCATGTATTATTCTTAAAGAAAAGTAACTTCTTCTTTACTCATCGCGTTTCTAATCTCAGCTTCACCTCGATTAGAAAATTCGCGATTCGTAAAGAAAAAAGTATACTTTCTTTACTTATAATACAAATAACTATTGTTCGTTGTGAATCAAATGAAATATTTTTGTGTGATTTATCGTTTGTATAATTAATTTGTAAAAATTGGTTTGCATAAATAATTATTAACCGAACAAAAACAAAATAATACAATACATTATGAGTAAAATTGACTTTGAAAATAAACTACAGATATATTATCCCCAAGAAACATAAATATTTGTGCAATATATTGTGGCTGAGACAAGCAGCAACTTCTCTCTACATCAAATAGTAATAAGTTACCTCGTTGACATCTCGATGATTGATAGTGGTACGTTGAAAAACGCCCTTAGAATAAAATTTTACGGCAATTCACTATTGTTTCACCACGTAACCGTTGACGACGATGAGAACGTCACATGAAAAATTCAGCTGACGTCGACGCCGCGCTACGACTAAACTAGATGAAATTTTAAATATGTTCTCTCTTTTAGATGCTTATTTTAGCGAAGCTAGATTATACCGCACGGGTTTAATATTGTTGTGAATACAAAAACAAAGCGTGGATTATCATAATCGGTAAAAAATGCAACACGAAGCTTTTGCAATTCAGGCGGAGCTGCGATTTCCCAAACCTTAAAGAAATAAAAAAATCCACCAAATTCCCCCCCGAATTTCCACTCGGAAGCCGATTTTCTCGGTAATATTTTTCAATTCTCGTTTGGTCCGGCATTCTACCAGCTCGGACATGTCTTGAATTTTTATATCATAGCACTTCAAATAAATCACCGGTTGTAGTGCGGAATGAAAATCAACAGATATGATTTTAGGACCTTTTCGGGAGTTTTCAATCCCATCAAGTCAAAAACGTGACTTTTCTATTGATATAATTTCTAAGTTATTCTAACCAAATTCGGTATTCATATCTCGAACTTGTATAACTTATTCTAATAATACAAACATTAAATTAAATTTTATTCCAAAAGTTTCGGTAATAACTAACTGTATATTCAGCCATTTCAAGCTTGTTTGTGGGAATAGCATCGCATAATTTGGTATACCAAGATGTAAAATTGTCAAGCAACTCGCGTTCGCTTGTACACGTATGTTATAAGTTATATGGTGCACGGAACCGAAATTACATAGAAGAGATGCCTCTGACGTGCTGCATTTAAGAACTAAACGCAGCCCCGGAAGAGTTTTGTTTGGGCAATTAATTTAGGTTGGTAGAAATTTAGTACATTCGTCAACACCGGCACCTCCACCATTCCTCGTTCGTACATTCGTTGTTAGCCCTTTTAATCCGAGCCTCACGAAGGATTCGAGAAAGTTAAATGCACCAGAAGTTCCCATCGTGGACAAGTTTTAATTGAATGCATTGTTGCGTCGAGCTGCATTTCAAGTCGGTAGGAAGTTTTCCAATGGTAATATCCACCGGAGGTGATCGTTTAGCGTCGCGGAAGAGATTGGGATGTCGTATCCGAGGCTTGTGTAGCACAGGGGAGTTGATAAAAAGGAAATATAGTTATGGAGAAGAGGAGAAATCCTTTTTGGAAATTGAAATAAGCTCTCCTTATGGTCGACGTCGAAATATAAATGAAGGTCATATCGTGGGATTATCGCTGATAAAGAGGTGCGGCTCGCGGTTGAAAAATCGATTCCACTTCCGCACACTTATATCGTTCGCGAACGCTCTGAATCCAATTTGCATAAATCTCAAATCCTTATGGTGCCTCTCTATCTGTTTCCACCCGAACTAAAGTGCACCTCTTAATTGACTTTATTCAACTTAAATAATTGAAACTCAATTTATGTTCTCTTTGTAACATTTACATTTTTTGTATATAATGAATTTCACTTATGATGCAATATACAAAAATATATTTCTATAGAAACCAGGACATAATTTGATTTTACAGTAAAAACTCGATAATTAATACGGGGAAGGCAATATCCGTTATAGCTCAATAAAGAATATCAAGAATATACAATAAAGAATATACAATAATCTAGTGCTATATAACAAATAAAATTAGACCAACACTAGACCTAGGACTAGAAACATTCCGTTTAGCCGTGCGTCTCTTAAGACGACTAAATCTGATTATATCTAGTTCTAGGTGTAATGTTAGTTGTAGTGACAGTGGTAGGTAGCGCTAGTTAGCATAAAATATCAGTATATTGCATATTTTTATTGAACTAAAACTAGGACTAACACTAGACCTAGAACTAGAAAGTTTTGGGTTTAGCCATGCGTCTTCAGACGCACGGCTAATCCCGAATGTTTCTAGTTCTAGGTTTAGTGTTAGTTCTAGTTTTGCACTAGCACTATTACTAGAATTAACACAAGACCTAGAACTAGAATCATTCAGGTTTAGCCGTCTTGAAAGACGAATGTTATTAGATCTAGGTATAATGTTAGCTCTAGTGATAGTGGTAGGTGGCGCTAGTTAGCATTAAGATATCAATATGTTGCATATTTTTATTGAACTAAAACTACAACTGTTACTAAAACTAACATAAGACCTAGAACTAGAATCATTCGGGTTTAGCTGTCTTGAAAGACGTGCGGCTAAACCCGAATGGTTCTAGTTCTAGGTCTAGTGTTTGTTCTAATTTTGCTCTAGCACTATCACTATAACTAACACAAGACGAACTAGAATTATTTGGGTTTAGCCGTCTTGAAAGACGTACGGCTAAATCCGTACTGAATGTTTCTAGATCTATTTAAGTCTAGTGTTAGTTCTAGTTTTAATTGTTATTCAGTGGTATATTTTTATTGAATGAAAAGTAGAACTAACACTAGACCTAGAATTAGAAACATTCGGGTTTAGCCGTGCTCCTCTTAAAATGGCAGAAACCTTAAGGTGGGATTTCCTAAGCGCGCCTGCCGCAAGCGTCAACGCACACGTCTGACGGATGCGTCAAAATGCTGGGTGTAGACGCAGCATGCTGTTTTCCAATAAGCGTGTCACCATGCGACGGACCTGCCGCAAATTAGTCAAATTTGTTTGACTATTTTTTTTTAACGACGTTTGGGTAACCGTACAATGGACCCGCAACATAATAACAAATTGCTTCTCTTGTTACAAGAGCATGACGATGACGAAATTTTGTTATTACTTTTGAGAAAAAAGAAAAGAAAAGTTGCGCGTAATTTGTATCAACGTAGACTGAAAGAGGGTTTTTCAAATACTCTCTTAAAAAATCATTTATTACTAGACGAGCAGACATTTAAACAGTTTTTTAGATTGAATAAAAGTCAATTTCATTTTATTCTTGGACTTGTTGGTGATAGATTAACANTAGTGGCGGACCTCAGAAATCCTTAAATGAATGGAAGAGAGTAAATAATTATATAATGTTCTGGAATAAGTGTTTATTATTTTATTTTAGGTTTTCGTAGATGGGAAAAGCCAAGTCCGTAAAAGGGCAAGGATAATTAAAAACAGCTATACTGAGACAGGAAATAAAGCTGCACCAGAACGCGAACTTTCCGAAATTGAAAAAAAACTACTATATCTGACAGGCGAGGTTGTTATAGAAGGAATGGAAGGTGTGCCAGAAATAGGAATAAATAATAATGAAAATATTGCAGTTGCTGTGGATCAAGAAAAAAATAAAGAGCAGCAAAAACTTTCAAACTCTTCAAAGAAAAAAAAACTGATTCTAATACCCTTGAGGAAATAAACTTAAATCTTAAACAATTAGTAGAGTTAAAAAAACAAGGGGTTCAGCTCATGAGGCTAAAGATGGAGCTAAAATATAATGTAAACATAGAAGATAAAGACTAATTCGCTACTGCCAGGGCAAAAGGTCATAAATCTATTTTTTTTAATATGGCGTTTGAGGCAAATTTGAATTGTTGATACAATTGTACTTATGACCTTTTGCCCCGGCAGTATAGCGAATTCTAGGTGTAATTTAATCTTAATTTTTTGTGATATCAGTTATTTTCTAATGAATATTTTTATTTTAGTTTTTTTTGTGATATGGTTTTTTCTTAATGAATATTTTTGTTTTAGTTTTTTTAAATAAAAAATGTTTAAAACTATTGCAACTAAATTTATTGAAAATAATTCCTAATCACATTA